TGGCCAGGGACTGGATAATGCGCTGGCATGCACCATGGCATTAGTCTTTTGAAGTCTTTCCTATTTTCATATAGGGAAACTGAGGCTGATGAGTGCCAACGTAACTCTAATACACAACACTCCACACTTCATGTCTTCAAGCACTATGCTATGCCATTTTTGTTGTTGTTTTCCTAAACATGTAGCTTTGGAGCCTGTCTTGGAACTTGCTGGCCAGCTATTTTAGTAAATGAATAAAAATCACTTATACAAATGGCTCTGTAATCAAGATGCCAAGAGGAAGTAGCTGTTAGTTTCTCCGAGGGATCGAATATCATTCCTTAAAAAAAAAAAAAAAAAAAAAAAAAAAGACACCACACCCCATCATCACCCTCTCCCCACCTCGCCTGATTAAAATATTGCAATGCAGTGCGCCTGATAAGGCCTTTCCATCCAGTGTTGTGTAACTCAGAAACACCTGGCACACCTGCAGCTGGAATCAGTCTGGACGCCTGGACCAAGGCTAGAAACAGTTTCCGAGCAAACACAGAAACAGGTGAGCCAAAGCGCTGACGGAACCAGAGCTGCAACAGAAAATCCCAAGCCTGCCTGTCCTCAAAGCGGCCGACAAGGTCCACGAAACTTTCATTTGGGAGCATCCAACATAAAGAAAGTTTAGCTCCCACAGGGCAAATCTACAGAGTGGCAGCACCCTCTCAAGACCCAGTTACAAGACTTCTACACTTAGGTCTCCTTTTCCACTGGAAAATGATGACCCTGGGGCCAGGACTCCAGCAGGGCCTGGGGCAGAGCAAGAGCTAAGAGGCACAACAGCCTCACAGAAAACGCCAGCATTCTCGTTTCCTTTCTTCTCCCATAAGCACCTTGAAAAACCACACATGCAAGTTCTACATTCTTTTTTTTTTTTTAAATTCAAAGTCCCTGCTTTCTCTACCAAAAAAAAAAAAAAAGTGTTAAACACACAACTGCATGAAGACAAAACAATCAATTGCAGTATACAGACAATCCAGCAATCCCAAATCCGTACCTAGCCCAAATGATTTAAAAATGTATGTCTACCCACAATCATGTAGTAAGATGTTTAGACAACTTTATTAATAGTTGCCACAGCTGGGAATCAACGAAGGTTTCAGTAGGAGAATGAACCAACTGTGGTACATCGAGACAAGATTATGCATCGCTTAAAGGATCTGAAATATCAAACCATGAAAACACATGCAAGCACCTCAGACGTGTCTTGCTGGATTTAAGAAGCAATCCGAAAAGACTATTACCCTTTAATTTTGATTACAAAACATTCTGGAAAAGTCAAAAGCAAAGGGGCAGGAAACGGCTCTGGCGGAAGGACAGGTGAAGAGAGGGGCTCTCCCTGTCCTACGTTTCCTGATATTACATGCTGGAGACACCACTGGACACCAGCAAAAGCCCAAGAATGCCCAACATCGAAAGAAAGACAGCGTTACTGTAAAGCGAGGGTAACATGTCAAAGGCGGTTCAGTCTTCACACACTTGTGGCATGTGACACAGTGAGGGGAGAAAGGAGGAGCTAATGGGGAATCTGTACTTTCTGCTCAATTTGCTCCGATCTAAAATTACTATTGAAAAAAGTAATAATTTTAGTTGGGCGTGACAGCTCATGCATATAACCTGAGCAGCCAAGAGGAAGCGTGGATGCAGGACCGCCCAAGTTCCAAGCCTAAACTGTGTAGCAAATCTCCACTTCAAACTGAAACAAAAACAAAACAGCACCAGGGATTTACATTTTAATTGGATTTAAAGTGAAGAAATAATCCTAACACAGTACCACAGCCACTGACAATCCAAACAGACCCACATTTCTACACTTTTGTTAAAAACAACAAAATACACCAGGCTGGCCCGGTGATAATCCCGACACTTAAAGGGGCCCAAGGGCACACTTAATGACGAAGCAAGGTCTAGGCCAGCTTGGACTCACTCCATAAGACTGTCTCAAATGACAAAGATTTAAAAATAAGACTACAACTAACTGCACAGCAGGAAAAATTTAAAAAGTGTGTCAACCTGCACTCTGGTTACATGTGGGACAGACAAGATTACAAGAGCCAGGACTCTCTACCATTTGACAAAACCCATCACATACGTTTAATGACTATCTTCATGTTTCCAGATTCAAGACCATTTCCATATTAGCACACAAAGTGTTTAGTAGTGTTTAGTAATGTCGAAAACACAGCCCTTCAGGTCAGACATGCTCGGAGAGACGAACGCTGCTACAATTAGTTTGGCAGCCCTAGTCAGGGATATGATCTATTTCTCCTAATACAAACTTAGATCAATTGATCTCAGCAGGAATGAAAAATAAAAACCAAAACATTAAAGGGGAAAAAAACCCCACAAATAATCAAAACATTTAAGGTTAGAATCCATCTTTTTTTTTTTTTTTAAAGACAGGACCTCAAATAGACCAGGCTGGGCTGGATAATGTTTAAGTAGTGACCCTCCTGCCTCCACCTGCCATGGGCCAGAGCTCCATCTGCAGGAAGAGAGTAGGCACCCACCAACTGAGCTACACCTCCAGCCCTTAAACAGCTACATTTTAAAGAATAGAAAACCCTGCCTTTGTTTTTTTATCGAATGCGTCAGGAACAACGCATGTGTTATCTATTTACTATAGACAAATATTTCTGAACTTTATCACCACCACACTTGGAAAAGAACTGCCAAAGACACTTATAGAAGTAGGATCAGCGGTAACAGTAGACAAAAATACTGCCACATGGTGCTGGTCAAAAGATGGCTATTAAAACACGTTCGTTAGGAAGTACTGCCCAGAGCAAGGAAGCAACCTAAGTAACATTCTTCAAATGCCACCAAAGCCTCAACCTTACACAAGCCAAGACTGCCTGAAAAAAGGGATAGGGTATTATTATTTTTATCAAGATAAAAACGCCAACACAGAGGATCTCATACATACAGCAAAGGACATTTTACCAATTTGATGAGAATACCAACAGGGTAAAGTTTTATTTTAGGGAGTGGGGACAGAATCCAGGGCCTTTATGTGCCTTGGATTTTTTTCTAGTTACTTTTATTTTCTATCTTGCATCAAATAGTTCAGCACTTGCTAAGCACTCAATTGAATGTGCATGTGTGCACCCTAACTCCCATGGCGACTATCTGAAAAGAAGGTCTTCAGAGGCTAAAATATTATTAAAATCTCATTAAGAGTGAACAAAGCACACACCTTTAATCCAAGCACTCAGGAGGCAGAGGCAGATGGGTCTCCGAGTTCAAAGCCAGCCTGGTTTATAGAGTGAGTACCAGGACAGCCAGAGTGGTCATACAGAGGAACCCTGGGATGTATGTGTCTGTGAGGTCTTAGTTATTGAAAACAATGAGGAAGTTTAAGCCATGTACAGTTTTGGTGGCGCACTCCTGGAAACCAGCATTCAGGAACAGAGGGTCATGAGATGACGTCGGCTTAGCACCTTACAGAAGAGAAAGGAGGATGGCAAGAAGCATGAGCCAGCAGCCCCACAAATCCGACAGATAACTTAAATTGGACTTTAGGATGTATGTGATGCCTGCAATATATAAATATATATATATATGCCATGTAGGTACCTGGTACCCAGAGGTCAGAAAAGGATGTCTAATCCCCTGAACCTAGAGCTACAGATAGCTGTGAGCCACCCCATATGGATGCTCAGAACTCAAACAAGAGCTCATCTCTCCAGCAACCCACAACCCCACAAAGTGGCTTTTTCAAGGAACAGTAACCCAATTCTCAGCTTCCACTTCCGACACATTAACACGTGACCACTTAGCACATTACAGAGATTCATTCCATAGGTGCAAGAAATGGGTCATTGAAGATATAAGATTTCTAAGCATTAAAACTTAATTTTACAATGTATGAAGCATTTAACACAGTATTTTTGTAGCCAGGTAGCATATGACTTTATCTCAGCACTTAGGAGGCAGCGAAGGGTAGACCTCTGATCTACAAAGTGAGTTGGAGGACAGCCAGAACTACTTAGTGAATCCCTGTCTTGAAAATAAATAAAATTTAAAAAAAAAGAAAAAAAGGGGAAAAAAAAGGAAATACTACCTTTTAAGTAAATACTTCGGAGACAATCTGTTCTCCTCCCTCTGTTTTTTGGTGGGTGTTTGGTAGGTTTTTTTTTTGGTTTGGTTTGGTTTTTGTTTTGTTTTTTTTTGAGACAGGGTTTCTCTGTATTGCTTTGGAGTCTCTCCTGGAACTCACTCTGTAGACCAGGATGGCCTCAAACTCACAGAGATCCTCCTGCCTCTGCCTCTTGAGTGCTGCGGTTTAAAGGTAAGTGTCACCACATCTGGCTTAGTCCTGGTTTTATCATTCTCCCAAATGTCTTACTATGAACAAAGAATAGGGCTGACACATATTTGAAACAGGTGAGGTCTAGAGGACACTCAAGATGTCAACACAAAATCTTATCTACTGTAAAGAAGCCAAAACAGATCCCAAAACCAAAGGAACTGAGCACAAGTAGCTTCGGGATCTGTAGACAAGAGTAAAGTCTTTCTATTTTATAATCCATCAAGTATCTATGTGTGTATCTTCATTCACACACACTCACACACACACACACACCTCTATATGACATATTCACATCTCTACTATCAGAAATGCAGCCACCTCACATAGACTTGTAAACCATGTAGCTGCTCACGGAAGATGCTATGTTTATATTGTTACTTCCTACTGGTACAGTATATTGACAGAGTTTGGACAGGAACAATTTCAGCCATACACTGATAGAGTTTAAAGCGCTTTCCCTGAGCCAGGAACAATGATTAATGCCTTTAATGACAGCACTGGGGAACATTTGAGGTAGGAGGACACCTGAATGCTCAAAGGCAGCCTCCCTCCAGGCTCTAACAAGACTCTGATCTCCAAACTTATAAAACAAATGAAAATGACAACAAAAAAGCATGGGTAGAGGTACAAAGCCTTCTTATGTAACTTTGAAGGATACTCTCCGCCATTGCCGCTACGTCCAGCTTGTCGATATCAGGTGAACCAGGGCAACATTTCTTGAATTCTTTTCGAAGATCAAAAAAGGAGTAGAAGCATTCGGGAAGTAATACATTCTGAGGGAGGAGAAGGTAGAGGCTGTTAACTGGGTGAACCTGGTCCATATTTCTCTAATAACTAGGAACCTGAGATCGGGATACAGTACAACTTACCACAATATTTAGAAATATAAAAGTCAATGTTTGTGATGAAATGGATAACAATGTTTATGGCCCATTGTACATCCCAATGAAACCATTTTTGGTTTTTACTTTATTTGTTTAGGAGACAGGGTTTCTCTGTATTGCTTTGGAGTCTCTCCTGGAACTCACTCTGTAGATCAGGCTGGCCTCAAATTCAGAGATCCTCCTGCCTCTGCCTTCCCAAGTACTGGGATTAAATGCATGTGCCACCATCACCCTGCTTCAAACCATTTTCTTTACATTTTATCTTACTTTTTGTGTATGTGCGTATTTGCCTGCATATGCACCAGATGTATGCGGGTTCTCACCAAGGCCAGAAGAGATTGTCAGAGCCTCTGGGACAGGAGCTGCAGGAATTGAGGCTGGCCAGACAAGAGGGCAGGGAACTGGCCACATACTCCGCTAAGTGCTGAGCCACTCCCCTCCTCATCAGCCCTTTCTAAGGCTATTACACATGTGCCGTTATTTTCAGGTCACACTAGAGCTTTTCTAGCCCTGACCATTTTAGACATCTGTGTTTGCAGGTATCAGTTTTCAGTGATAAATTTAGACTAAGAGTAAGTGGTAAGATGTTGTAGTTCCAACTACTATTGAGTCCCAGTAGGAGTAGTGATGTGCCTATTCTTTGCAAAAGATTACTTTTGTGCCAGATTACAGTTCCATTATTAGTTTTTGCCCATTGTTCTGGCTTGGTCTGAAAATTCAAATTAGATTTTAAAAACATGCATCCCAGGGGCTGACGAGGAGGACTCAGAGTTAAGAGCACTGGCTGCTCTTCCAGAGGTCCTGAGTTCAATTGCCAGCACTCACATGGTGACTCTCAATCATCTGTAACTTCAGGTCCAGAGATCTGACACCCTCTTCCGGCTTCCACAGGCCAGCATTCAACACACATAATCCATGCAGGCAAAACACCAATATATATAAAGAAATAAAATAAGTCTTAAACAAATAAACCATAGGGTGGTCAGGTGGCTCAGCAAATAAAGTGTTTAGGCCTGATGGCTGGAGTTTGATCCCTGAAACCCACATCACACTGCAAGGAGAGAATGGCCCCCAAGATTCTCCTGACCCCAACATGCAAAATGCGGCATGGTAACACCACACACACAGTAATAAAGCATTTAAAGCAAAAAGGCACACAAATAGACAAGGTAGGGCGCACATAATTGTGGAGGTGGATGCCAGAGAATTGTGAGACCATGCCCAGCCTGAGTTATATACGAAGACTGTCTCAAAAAGGCCCAGGAGTAAGAATGTAACTCAGTGGTAGAGTCTGCTTGCTGAACATGTACAAGACTCTAGGTTCAATCCCCGACAACAGATCGAAGAGACACGGTACTTTAAGTCAAAGCAAAGGAGAAGCTACCTACTGTTCCTAGGTTTCCCTCCCTTTTACATTATTTGCTGGGTGGAGCACACAGGTGCCAGTGCCATGAACCTGGAGGTCACAGAACTACCTGGGAGAGTCAGACTCTTTCCTTCTGCCATGTGGGTCTTGGGAATGAACTACGCCCAGCTTGGAAGCAAGCCATCATTAGCCTTATTTTTTTTTTTTTCTTTTTCAATTTCAAAATAGTTCGTGCTCATTGACTTGAAAATTCCCTTTGCTATTTAAAAAAGGAAACACATGTTGTTTTCTTAATTTAAAACTTTGTATGTGTATTTTGCCTTCATGCATGTATTGCAACACGTGTAAGTCTGGTGCCCACAGAGATTGTAGGCAGGCATTAGAGTTACTGATGGTTGTTAGCTGTCACGTAGATGCTGGGAACCAAACTCAAGTTCTTTTCAACAGCAAGTGCTCTTAACAGCTGAACCATCTCTCCAGCTAGCAAATATGTATCTTTAATGTTTGGTAAATATATAATAATGTCTCTAGTGGATTCTAGTTGGCATGATTTTCTCATACTGTATCTGAAATCAGCATCATTAAGCCAAAGTAACTGGTTTGAAGAACTACATAAAACATGACTCCTCACAATGTCCTATGGCCATGATAAACTACAGCAATAACTCGCAACAGGAAAACACCAGTTTAAATCACCATTCCTATTTAAAACACTCAGCACTGTATTTAGTTTATAAATGTATTAACATTACACTAAAGTATAAAGCAAACAGGTTTGTATAGTATAAATGTTATTGCAAAAGTAATGCTTCCCCATGGAATTCTAATAATATTCTAATGTTAGGGAAATTCTTTCATCTATTGTTTCCTGTGTAGCCAAGTTATTTATTTTCTTTCATGTCTTACCATTTTGTGTGTAAAGGAATATGTATAATTTTTGTTACAACACTACTTTTATACAAATGGTTCAGGAAACTACCTTGGTTTTTCTCTATAGTTTTCTCCCCTAAAAAGCGAGGCATCTAAAAATTAACAGAAGAAACTGTGCTGGAAACGATGGCCCTTACCTGTAACCCAGCACTTCAGGAAATCAGGGGGAAAAAGCCCTTGAGTAAGAGGCCATCCTACAATACATTCAAAGACTAGCTAGGGCCATAACCATCTCAAAAAATTAGGAGGGGGTTAAACTATAATAAAAAGCTATTTCCCTCTTGCCAATAGTGAAAGAATTAAGGAATTAAGTCTTGGCCCTTCATCTGTGACTTGGGGGTTGGAGCGGAAGCCTCCTCTGGATTTCTGAGTCAATAACACGGTTATGGCATTCCATTCCATTCACACCAACTGGTTACTAAGACTCTTATAAAAGGAGTGATCAACCTTCAAGGTGGAGGACCTGGGGTCTCTCCTGCAGACTTTCCAGATAATTATACCAGCTTTTCCTACTTTAAAGAATGAAGCCAAGGAAGTCTGGGCTAACTGTACCTGCCTGTGTCTATTTTAATCTACCAACTTTCTTAGCCCCACATCTTCTCAGCCTCAGCGCCCGCCTTCTACTGCGCATGACACAACTAATTCCAACTGTTAACAGGTCCGTGCTCTTCACTGTCCTACCAGGGAGAGAAACGGTAGCGCCCGAGAAAGACTCACTTTCCTGTCTTCTTTTTAAGCACTCATTTTTCTTATTCATGGTCTTTTCCACATGAGAAAAGTCAGTAAAGGTAACCCACTGATACAACATTTTGGTGTACCCTTGGAATCCCAGCACACAGATGAGGTAGGAGTACCATGAATTTGAGGTTGGCCTGGATTCCAGAGTGAGACTGTCTCAAAAAATTCCACACATTTATGAAAATAAATAAAAATTTTAAAATTTAGTTTTCAGCACTTCAAAGCAGAAGTGTTCTTTTTTTTGTAACAGAAGTGTTCTAAAATGTCATTTTGCTGTTATGTTGGTAATTATTACCTAAGCAGCTTTAAAAGTATTTAGACGTTTAGAAGGTTTTTGATTCTCTTTCAAAGATAAAGCATTTCACATAAGAAAATTTCCACAGTGCAGTCTTTTCTACTTTAACCAAAATTCAAACCTTATATTAGCTTTGCAAAATGGAGAGTGTCAAGCTGGAAACATAACAAAGAAAATGTTTTAAATCACCGTAGGATACCTATACTGCAATCCCAGACATCTCCATGAAAATTACATGAGTTTTTCGATTGTGGTAAAATATCTACCATGTTAACTCTTTTAAATTACAACACCAAGTTACACGATGGACCTCCAGTTTTATCGCTTACAAGTACAGCGATTCAAGTTCACTAACGATTTGCAACTGTCACCACCATCCTTTTCATTCAGAACATTTTTATCTTTCCAAAACTAAAATCTGCACCCTTAAGCAATAAGCCCCTGCTTGTACTTCTGTAAAAAAGAGAATAATTTGGATGCCGTTTTAAAAAACTCTCCAGTTAACCCCGAAATACAGAAGTTTTTTTTTTTTTTTTTTTCCAGAAGCCAGAATAAACAGATTTGGATAAACCATATGGTTTCGCTTTTTGTTTGTTTTCAAATTCCTCAAGTCACCCCGCAGAGAACATCCAGAAGCCAACATGCACTTACTTACCTTCTTGGAAGCCTCAGGATGCAAGATCTGCCTGACATGAAGTTGCCCGTCAGTACACAAACAGAAGGAGGTCCCTACCCCAATGTTCAGTTCATTGCTCACTGACTGGTTAAACTGTAAGAACAAGAACACGGGGGATGCATCGAAAGCGGAATTTACAAGCATGTCAAAGTGGCCCAGCTTCAAAATAACCAGGAAAACCATCCTGAGGGACACGGGCAATATCACAAAGGCCGCCCCCTCCCCTTTTTCCGGGAACCTGCCCCTTTCCTCTAGGCAAGGAAGCTCGCAGACCAATCTGCAGTTTTTTGCTTGGGAGAAGTGGATGCCCCTTCCCAGAAGCCCTTATATTCAGAAAAAGACTATCGGATGTCTCTTTTTACAGATTGCCTTCAGATTACATCATTCCATAGTGCTACTTTTTAAACGTTTGGATGTTCCAGCTTAAGGCACCATTTCCGACAAACAAGCGGGGTAATGAATAAGCAGAACGCTGTAAGGTGAATAACACTTTCTTTAGAAAATACTCTACCTATTCCTTTAATAGGAAACTCGTGCGCTAAGGCAGGGGCAGGAGAGCGTAGAACATACATCGCTGCACAGGTGTTGAGACCCGCCCTATCCCGGATTCTAGCAACCGTCAGCACCCACAGCAGCCAGTTTTTAGGTCACCTCAATTCTAATAGGGGATCCCGCCAGCTCCACGGTGACCCCAACAGACAGCCCCACAGTTCGTACCTGCAACCCCTCCCTGGGATCCCAATCAAGGCACTAAAGTAATGAGGAAGCAGAGCCTCTGGGGCCGAGACTTCAGGCAGACCGGAGGCGGGCGCTCAGGTGCTGCGGCTAGCGCGGGATGACTGATGGCCTGGCCCTCTAGGGCACTGCCGCTCTACATGACACGGCTGCAGACCCAGACACACGAGGAGCTGAGCTTGGAGTTACGCGAGCCGGTATTCAGAATCGCTTAAGTAAAACGCGACTGTTTCCCCCACCCAAAGACTACCCAGGAGGCAACTGGAAGTCGAGCGAAATTGTCTATCCCAAAACCCTGGGGACCAGGAAGCCAAGCGCAGCAGCCCCTCCAGAGCCCCTCCCCAGCCCCCAGGCCGGACTCCCACACACAAGGCTGGGAGTCTCGCCACCCCGCCCCAGAAACAAGCGGAGACCGCCCCACGAGGGCGTGGAGCCACAGGGCTGGGTCGGGTCTGGGGGCGGCTGGGATGAGGGTGGACGGCGTGGCCCGGCCCAAACTGTCACCTGTCGGAGGGCTTGGTCCAGCTGCGGCGCTGAAGACAGGTTTTCGGTGTCTATTTTAGTTTCTTCTTTACAATCCTCCGTCAGTTCCAACTGATCCGGTCTAACTAGTACTTCGTGCAACTGTCCCACCTCGGGGGGTGAAGGGTGGAGAATAAGGGGTCAGGTCCCCTTTTGCAGTGTGGAAATTCTTTCTCCTCCCCGGCTTCCCCGAGGCGGCTCGAGGCTTTCCAGACAGCCAACAGCCGAATCAAGGCTCCCAGCACGCCCAGGGAGCCGGTCACAGCTCTCCCACCCCACCCCCACCCTGCCGGGATCAAGTCGGCGAGGCCCTGGAGGGGACCCCAGCGCCCCAAGAATCACAGCCTGGCCCAGGCGTCCCACGACCGGCAAGAGAACGCGGCTCGGCAGCGCGGGGCCTCTCTCCCTGAGCCAGGTTTCCGAAGACTGAAATGGCTCCAAGGTGGTTGGCCAACAGGTTTGACTCTACTATGGATTCTCTAGGCCTCGGGGCCCCGCTTCATAAGCGTGCAAACAAACGAAAAGGAAAGAAAAAAAAAAAAAAAAGAAACCATCTCCTCTCCAACTTCTACAATTAAGTCCTGGCCCCACTCCTTGTTTGGAGCAGAACGTGGCGAAGTACCTTCTTGTTGGCCAAATCCACGACTTTCCACAACAGCAGGATCAGCTCCTTCTCATCCGAACCCAGCTTGGCTCCGGTGGCCCCAGCAGTGATCCCAAAAAGCACCACCAAGTAATCCGGAGACGCCGTCATGACGGTAGGTGGGGAGGGGGAGGAGGGGGGTCGGGAGGTGGCGAGGAGGGGTTGGAAGTGAGAACGAGAAAACCTGTGCTAAAACCCTCTTCCAAGAGAAAAAGAAAGCGCCCACCCCCCTCCTCGCGGCCGCCAGGGCAAAAGGCGGTAACCAGCCACCCAAGCCCACACCTGGCCGGCGCTCCACACCCAGGGCAGGAAGGGGGGTGGAAGGAGGGAGCAGCAGGCCTGCCCTTTCTCTATCCAATTGCTGGTGCGTCTATGAAAAAGCCGAGGAGCCCGGCTGCACCCCCGGGAGGCGCGCGCAATGGCTGAAAGCTTTTCTGTTTTGGGATGTGGCTCTACCTGCCCGCCCCTTCCCCCTCCCCCACGTGGTGCAGGTAAGAGACACCTGGCGGCGCCCGCCCATTGGCTTCTTCAAACCACGACGTGGCAGCGGTGGGGGGGGGGGCTGGAGGAGGGAGAGGAGGGGGCGGGAGACAAAGCCTGGATGAATGGGGAGGCAAGGGCTGGAGAGGAGGGGAGGAGGGGAGGAGGGGAGGGGCGGGCTAGAGCCGGTTGTCACCCGCAGAGTAGCCCAGGCCAGACCGGGAAAGGGGGGGGGCAAAGGGCGCGCGATGGTGGAGAAGGGTCCCTGCTCGGGGGTGGGGGGGACAGAGAGGTGAGGGGGCTGGAGGGGAAGAAGCTGAAGGGTCGCGCGGAAGGCCAAGGCGCCAGGAGGCAAAAGGAGGCCAGAGGTGAGGCCCAGGGCGCGGCGTCCGGGAGGGACCGGCCTACGATCGCCCGGGAAGGAGGTGCGGGTAATTGCGGAACCCGGGAAAAGCCGCTCCTGGGCCCAGCACACCTTCCAGGGCAAACAGCGGGAGGGAAAAGTCCTGCGAGCCCTGCCGGACACTGCGCCGGAGCTGGTGCTCGCTCTCCACCTCGGGACGAGGACCCCCCCCCCCCCGCAGCCGCAGAACCCACGCCTGGCTGGCTTGCGCATCCCGGGACGCAATCTCAGCGCCCACAGCAGCTGGGGAGGGAGGAAGCTGCGGCTCCTTCTCCGTCATACACTTGTTACATCTTCGCTGTGCCGGCTGCTAGTGTGAGACCGGAATGCCCTCCAGGACTGGAGCATAGTTAACTGATTTGCCTTGAATACGAAATAAAATGCGTCTGCCCCCACAGGCCTCATAAAGGCCCTCCTGAATCGGGCCCAACAAGCTTTTTGCTGTTTCTGCCCTGTCCCCACGCTCTCCACTCCTGCCTCTTAAATTTGTTCTTGGAGTGTGACTTGACCAGGGTCTCCTGCTCAACTTAGGCCCACAGACTCTTGCGTCACCACCGACTCCACCTCCAGCCCCCGCCACGAGCCACTCACGGCAAAGGCAGGTCATGTTGACAGTTTAGAAAAGTTCTAGAGGTGTAGCTCCCTTGAGTTTTCTGTTTCAAACCACCCACTCTCGGGAACTGGATTTTATCTGAAATGTTACTAGCTTGGCGCCGGGTCTTCGGCCCTGCGTATTCCTGATGTGAAATGAGGACCCCACATCCTTGCAACCCCTGGGACCCATCGGTACTCTCCCGGGGATGTTTATCAGGGCAAACTAGGGATCAGGCTTTCCCAGTGGGAGCCTGAACTCTGGCGAGTAGGGAGAGGAGTCGAAGGCCCGCAACGTGCGTTTTCCGGTAAGACGGGGTGCGGCCGGTGGCAGGAGGTGCAGGTGGCAGCGGCGTCCGGGAGAGCGGGTGGAGGCCCGGCTCGCGCTCCGCCCCCGAGAGGGCGCTGGTACCACCTGGGTCCTCGGCTGCCTCTCCTGGGCTTCAAGGACGCCTCGCAGCCCCGCCCTAGCCGCTGAGTCTCTGAGCCAACCTTCTTGTCCCTTGGAGTCGCGGGGGCTGGAACTGGGCGGGGGATCTGGAAAAACCACCCAGATTGCTTTGCAGTGGGCGAGGCTGCCTGGAGGAGCCGGTTCCCCCGAGAGCCGCATCGCCTCGGGGCTCTCCACATTCAATTTCTCTGTTGCTCAGCTCTACCGTGATAGGCTACACCTGGAGGGAGCGCGGGCCTCGGCAGGAACGAGCGCTCAGCACCCAGGCTGGGAGGCCCGATGTCTGGCAAGCGAGTGGCGCTGAGAAAGTGATTACAACCGCACCTGAAGCGCCTCCGACAGCCCTTTGGAGTCTGGATTCGACGTTTATATAAAGGGTTTCGACGAAAAGTCAAGGAGCGCTCATCCTGGGAGATGTCTCAGTAGGAAAACTAGAATCACGAATTTCAGGGCTGCCCTCTTCTCTGCAGACTCTTCCCTTTCCCATTTAAGAAAGACGGATTCTCTGTCTCTAACACTTAAAAAAAAAAAAAAAAACAGCTTAATTTGTCCAACAAATTAATTTACCTTAACAGGGGTTTTGTTCTTGAATAGATTTTCAGGACTTCTAACCGCCTGGCATGTACTCTGTACTCAACAAATATTTATTGAGCAATTTGGATGAAAAGAAAGGAAGAAAAGAAGGGCATGCCGGCTCCAAGGTGTGGATTGAGGTTTTTTGTAGATGTGAGAGAGCAGGGCAGGAGGCATCTAGAAGGGTCCAGATGGAACATGACTCTGAGCCAGACCTTGTGAGAAGAGGGGAGAAGTATGAGGAGAGAGAGGAACCTGAAGCATCAGCCAAGATCGCAAAGGACGGGTGTAGCCAAAAGGACTGGGTTTCGTAGGGAAGGGCAGTCTGGCCACTGTCTGGGCTGAAGAGTTCAGGGTAGGGGACCTGTAGTAGAGACGACTGAAGGATGCTGGGAGAACCTGCGGGCACCAGTTTTGATGTGTTAATATGCGCCTGGACCCTTCCTCTGGCATTTGAGGTCTGACATCGCAGCCTTTTTTGTCCTTATTGTGGCTGGAATTGGGGCGTTGTCAGGGACCCAGGAAAGCTGAAATTCCCACTAAGACCGGAAAGTGAAAGGGGTGAAGGCTGTTTCCCCCACTGCTCTCTGCCCAGGGAAGTGCAGAGCAGTCTGTGTGCCTGGAACACCAAGGGCTAGCTGCTGCCTTTGTAACTGTTGGCTCGAAACTTACCGGGACAGATAGACTGGAGAGAGAGAAGGCGAAGTTAGGAGTTGAGTGGAAATTTTTATCTTTAGTGTACACTTTAAACTTTCAGACGCATGGTCTTGGTAGTTAGGAAAGGGGAGAGGACCCCCCCCCCTTCAGGAATAAACAGTAAGAAAATATAGCCTGTTGATTGACAGGAGTGTTTATCTGGCGTTCATTTGACCTGTGAGAGATGGATGACTCTCTGAAGCTTATATGAATTTGTTTGTTTTCAAGCAGGGTTTCTCTGTCCCAAACTCACAGAGATCTGCCTGTCTGTCTTTTGAGTTCTGGAATTAAAGCCTTGAGCAACCACCTCTAGCATGAATTTTTTTAAGTTTAGAGACGTTTTTAGCACAACGAGAAACATTTTTAAGTCTATACTTAGAAAATTACCACAGGAGATTTATAATTTTGAGCTTGTAATTATTGTAATAGTACCAGTTCTTTATCCAGGATCAATAGTTTATCAGACTTTGTTGATTAATGTTAAAGCTCTGAGCTTTTGAAGCATAGAAAGGAAAAGAAATCTGAAACATTTCTCATTTTTATATACCTCAAATCACTTAGACCTTTATAAGATACATTCATACATCTTAAAACACTTTTTTAGACCTTCACAGCTTTACTTAAGGTTTCATATCCTCACACCTTTACAACTTGTATTTATGTGCCTTAGAACACTGTCTGAAACCCTCAAAGTGTGCATAACCTTTAAAACGTTTTTTAAGGTTGATTTTGCTGGGCTGTGGTGGTTCACACCTATAATCCCAGTACTTGGGAGGTAGAGGCAGTTGGATTTTGTGAGTTCTAGGACAGCCAGAATTATTTCACAGAGAATCCCTGTCTTAAAAAAGAAAAAAAGAAGAAGAAGAAAAGCATTTCATGTGCACTGGTGTTTTGCCTTCATGTATGTGTGTGTGAGGGTATTGGGTCCCCTGGAACTGGAGTTACAGACAGTTGTCAGCTACTATGTGGGTGCTGGGAATTGAACCACTGTCCTCTGGAAGAGCAGCAGTTCAGTGCTCTTAACCTATGAGCCATCTCTCCAGCCCTAAATTTGTTTTGGTTTGTTTTTCCAGACAGGGGTTCTGTGTGTAGCCTTGGCTGTCCTGGAACTCACCCTATAGACTTGTCTGGCTTTGAATTCACACATATCCACTTGCTTCTGCTCCTGAAGTACTGGGATAAAAAGGTCTGCCACCACCTCCCGGGTTTTTTGGGTTTTTTGTTTTTGTTTTTTGTTTTTAATCCACTCATTTACCATGAGATGCAGGTGATTGTTTACTGAGTGGTCAGGTTTGATATTATAATAGGCACCTCAACCATCCATCCCTGGTTTGAGACCTAAAGTAACTGTAATAATATGCACCCAGATTTGCAGCTTTGCCTTATGAGCTCGGTGTTAACTCATCACCATAAAGATGAGATTCTCAGCTGAAACAGTCCCATGCCACCACCACTAACCAGGGTTTCTCTGTGTAGCCCTGTCCTGAAACTCGATTGTCACCCGAGGTGGCCTCAAATGAAGGTCATCTGCTTCTGCCTGCCTCCCAAATGCTGGAGTTAAATGAATGCGGCACCATGAGAGGCTAGCCTGCAGAAAATTTAAATCCCAAGTGTTCTGTAAAGAATCAGCAGGCCAGGTCCATTTTTTAAAGGACTTTGGGGAGTTGGGCATGGCAGTACATGGCTGTAGTCTAGGCATTTGGGCAGGGGAAAGTCAAGATCAAGGAGTCCTGGCTACATGAGAGAGACCCTGTCTCAAAAAATTAGATTTCAAAACAAAACAAACAACAGTAAAAAACTGTAGATTAAGTAGTACTGTATCACTTTTAGTTTCACAAATGTAGTATCGCTGCTTAGGCAGGAACATATACTGGTTAAGGAAGTACAAATGAAACTTTTAAGGATAAAGAAAAATGAAAATCACTCTCCATAGATTCAGGCAAAATCCTTATAGATGTTAATAGATGTAATGAGGGATAGGTATCACATGCTGGGTAACAGCTTTGTAGCCTCAGTAATGGGTGAGAGTATCCTTTGTTCTGTTCTCTATAACTCTGCTGCTAAGATTGCTTCAGGCTTCCCAGGCTTTGCTTTAGCCTCTCTGCGCGGCCCCCCCCCCCCCCCGCCTCCATGCAGGTATATAGCAAGGCTCTGT